AAAAAAAAAAAAAAAAAAAAAAAAAAAAATTGGAATGGTAACACCCTGTAATGTGGTGAATAAATACTTTCTCAGTCAGAGCAAGCCTTGTGGTGTTAATAATCTACCTGATATGAAGGGATTTGTTTGGACATGCTCCTAGGAGAGGCAGAAATTACCTCCCAGTAAAAATACACTTAGATCACTGTTTCAAACTTCACTGACCCCCCCAAGAGTAACATTTTAAAATTTCAGTGTGAAATGTCAAAGTAAATTCTTCATCTTAAAATCTTCAGGTTGCTCCTCAAACCAAGACTGAATTCTGGGTTATTTGATACCTTACATGTTGATGTGTTGAGTGTTAACATGGGAAGGATTTGTGGATCTCTGTGTTAGACTGAGAGAAGGAATTACATTTCCTTAAATAAATTCTTGGTGTGCTGGTTCAGTTGCTTGCTGTGGAAGTGATCAGCTCTCTACCTAGAATTGGCACATACACAGTGTGGCAAAGATCAGTCCCTGATCCTTAGCATTTAAAATGAATTTTTGTGGCATGTTCTCTTCACCTGTGGGCCATTGTCTTTTTAACAGTTGGCTGTCCAATATAATCAATGAAAGCCTTTTATTCTACCTTGAAATGCAACCAGATATCAATGCAGGCTCTTTGAAACGTGTCAGAGATGCAGCCAAGACCACGTGGTTTATTATGGTAAGCTAATCTAGATTTCAGTTTCTTCTTGAAAAAAAATTGGAAGGAAAAAAGAACAATCAGAAGTATGATGTTTATTTATATAAATATACAACGAGGCAAGTAGGTTCTTGGACTACCTACATTTGGCTTAGTGAACTTCTGAGAAAATTTCATTCATTGTAGTGATTATCATTAAAAAGATAGAGAGTCAGGGGTATACACTCAGTAGTACAGCACTTTTATCATCTTTTTTTGTTGTTGTTGTTAATCCTGAGGATCAATTACAGAGTGCATGCTAGGCAAGCACTGTACCACTGGTCCTTTCTGTTTTTCAAATTTTGAGACAGGGTCTTGCTAAGTTTTCCAGGCTGATTTCAAACTTGTGATCCTCCTGCCTCAGCCTCCCTAGTAGCTGGGATAATAGGCACATGTCACCAGGCCTGGCTCAGCATTATATAAAATTCTAAAGCATTATTGGAAACCCAAATGTCAAAGTAAATTATGGTCTTTCATATTTTGTTTTTTTCTTTTTCCTTTTTAATTAAAATTGGGGTGCCAGGGATTAAACTCAGGGCCTGGTATCTGCTCAGTATACACTCTACCACCAAGCTATATCCCAGCCCTTGGCTTTCATCTTGTTGAATGTGACCCAGAAGTTAAAAACGATGATTATGAAGTCTCTGTATTAACTGGAAAATGTAGCCTATAAAATTGAGATTAATTACTATTACATAAAAACATGTATAAAAATACTGGACACCCCCCCCCCCCTGTATTTTCATCACATTTCATGTGTATTAGGAGCTGTTGGCAGAGAGGTATGCTCTGAGCCATGCAAAATTGTTATTTATGTTGTTCTGAATTTGGAAAAGTGTCACTTGAGATGACTTTCATAAGCCCACACGAGCCCTCTTGATCTGTGTGTTTTGGCTGAGAGCTTCACATGGCTCCTCTGGCTAGCTCTATGGAGTAATGTTACCCCAAGAACCTTGACTGAATCAAATTCTGACCTGGCAGCACCAGGTGGAAAGCCACAGGGGAGCAGAGGTCCAAGATGGCTGGTTCTATCACCTTCCTTGCTTGCATTTCCTCTCCCCCACTTTCCTTCCCCTTCCTCTCCTCTCCTCTCCTCTCCTCCTGGTCCTCTTCATCCTCCCCTTCTCTTTCTCTGACCCCCACCCATCCTTTCTCTTCTCTCCCTTGCACTCTCCCCACTTCCTCTATTTTCAGGCAGCCCTTGGAGATACAGAACCTACTACGGCCAATCTTAGTCTTGCCCCAAACCAAACAACCCACTTGTTCCGAGTGAGGGCAGCTCAGTGGGCGCTTGAGTGGAGCTTGGCACTATGTGGCAACTGAAGGCTCTACTTCCTGTCCTGCTCCACTGACTGCTGCATCTTTTTGCCTTTTCTCCCAGGGGATACTGAATCCCGCCCAGGGCTTCCTCTTGTCTCTGGCCTTCTATGGCTGGACAGGATGCTGCATGGGTCTCCAGTCTCCCAAGATGGTGATCCAGTGGGAATCCATGACGACTTCAGCAGCCGAGGTGGTGGGCTCTTGCGTGCGTCCTGAAAACCTCACTTGCAGGAAGGTGGCTCCAGTTGGGGGACACACTTCTGATGAGGCCCTCAGCATGCTGTCAGAAGGTAACTTACGCTCCACAGGCCAGGGCAGGAGTGGTGTGGCACACCAGAACTCCATGGTCAATCCTTTATCAAACACTGAGGGGCAGAGGGCGTGTTACAATAGCCCATGATGACTCTTCCATTTCGTCAGCCCCCCATCCTTTTAATATTTGAATGATGCCCTTCCTTTAATTATTAAGCCCCGTAGCCTGTGTTTTTTATAACTGGTTCCCAATTGGGCTGAATGGCATTTTGAATAGTGATAAATTGTCACTTTAAACCCTTTGATACTTTTGCTGTGAGGTGATGCATGCTATGACATGAGCTCTTTAGATTACAGGTACACTTCTCTGTCCAGCTCACTGGGGGCATGTAGGGCAAAAAGCCAAAGAACCAGTACCAGCTTTTCCAATTTATCCTGTTCACATAGCACTGTGATTGTCAAACTGTGCTCTGTGGAACCCTGATGTGATGCTTCAGGCATCTAATAAATGATTCAAATTCCATTCCAAAACTCACAGTAGAATCTGTGCTTAAATTGAATACTTCAAATGTGTTGACTACCAAATACTAGCCTGCCCACATATTAACTCGAGTTAACCTAATAACTGAACTGATTTGAATGTGGAGCTCAGAATAACTTTCTCCTGTCATCTTTAAGGGATCACCATACAGTGATGGCAGAGGAGAATTACTTAAAGGCTACTGCACGTCAGCTCTGTGGCCATTGAAGTTAGATGTGACACCATCAAGTCAAAGCAAAGAAAGTGTTAATTGTTCAAGTTGGTACATGATGGTAACTTTCAGCTCAGATTTCAGTTTGAAAGTTTTGAATTAACTGAGGTGTCCTTATAATTCTAATTGATTACAACGTTTATTTTTCATAAAATTCCAATTATGACTAAAGAAGTACATTTTTGCTAACATACACCTCTGTCTTAGGGTTTCCTTGTTAAGCTTTGTTTTAGTGGGGAAAAAAAAGATATTTGGGTTAAGGAAATAAGTTTGGAAATCACTACACTGAAAGCCATGGAGTTTTATTTATTTATTTATTTATTGAGAGAGAATTTTTAATATTTATTTTTTAGTTTTTCAGTGGACACAACATCTTTGTTTGTATGTGGTGCTGAGGATCGAACCCGGGCCGCACGCATGCCAGGCGAGCGCGCTACCGCTTGAGCCACATCCCCAGCCCAAGCCATGCAGTTTTAACTAATGATTTGTAATGTCCAAGTAAAATTAGGCTTTCTGAAAGTGTGAATCTAAAACTTTCTTCTACCCAATATGAATCAGTGTATGCACACAAACATACATGCACACACAGGAGACCAAAGAGAAACAATACGCTATCCAAGCTACTTTTTTATACCAAAGTATAATGTTGAATTTTGAAGTCAGAAAACTTTGAAGAAAGATATCTGGAAATGGCTACAAGAGCTCTGTTTTCTTTTCCATTCCTACTATTTAAATATTTTGAAGGAAGTTTCATTTTTAGGTGACAAGATGGGTTAAAGAAACACGGTGAAGAATTGATGGATTGATTCCATGAGACAGAATTGGTCATAATTGGGATCCTTGAAGGGAAACAGAAATACTTCAGGCTATAGTTATGACAGATGTACTTTGTGTTTATAGACTGTTCTTTGTTTGTGGAGCTGAGCATGGAATCCAGGGCCGCATGGATGCTAGGCTAGGCAAGCCTTTATCCTGGAGCCACTCCCCCAACCTCTGGATTTTCTATCTAGTAAACACAGTGCATTAAGGATGACAGACCCACCAGTTGGAATTGCTGTTAGCATGCTATTACTGATACCACCTGAGTTATGAGCCCAAAATTGCCATCTGGAACTACTTGGCTTTGTTGGTTTTCCCTTTCTGGTGGATTAAGGTGGCTGAGTCAATCTTTGACAGTCAAATAAAACACTAAAGAGAAATAACAATAAAAACTATATCCCAGTCTGCCCCAGGCACTCCAATCACCATGGGCAAACAGCATCAATCATATTCATTCTTTTGAGAAAGCTGTTGCCTAGGTCTGTGCTCACAAGTTAGAAATTTTTATATGGAGGGTTTTACACAACGCAAACGAACAGCCAACAGAAAACTAAACAGGGCAGTAATTCCTGGATTGCCTTACCTTCTCCTTTTATTTTTTAAAAAAATTATTTTTTTCCCTGGTGCTGGGGATGGAAGCCAGGGCCTCATGCATGCCTGCTAGGCAAGCACTTTGTAACTGAGCTGCACCCCCAGCCCTCTCCTCACTTTGACATTGTGTCATCTTTCACATTTCATTTCCGAAAAGGAGGTTTTCTTTGAAATTTGAACTCTATTTGTTTCATCAATTTATATCTTGAAAAACAAATAGGAGAAGGAGACATCTAAAAAAACAACAAACTTTGAGTTTGCATAGTGCTCCCACAGGAGAAGTTGGACATTTCACAATGGTATCTTCCTTCCACATGGAAAGTTAGAGATCTCTTATCTTTTCATCTGTAAAGAAATGCTGATTTCCCCCTCTTCCTTTGCTTTTTAAGAGAACTGAGATTTGGGCTGGGGATGTAGCTCAGTTGGTAGTGCTTACCTTGCATGCACAAGGCCCTGGGTTCAGTCCCCAGCGTGCGCGCGTGCGCACACACACACACACACACACACAAAGAGAGAACTGAGAAGATGCTAGGGGTAGGCTGCAGCTCATTGGGCAAGAACTTCCCTAGCATGCCAGAGGACCTGGGTTCAAGTCCAGCATGATGCACACACAAAGTTGAGATGTAACCCATATAACATAAAATTCATTCTTTTAAAGTGTACTCTTCAGTGGTTTCTGATATGTTTACAATGATGGGTAACCACTGCCACTATCTAAATCTGGATTATTTTTTATAACCTCAAAAAGAAACCCCAAGGCCCTTAACAGTTAATTCCCATTCCCCTTTCCCAGCCATGGCAACCAGTAATCTTCTGTCCCTATGCATTTGCCTCTTATGGACATTTCACATAGATCTGTCCTTTGTGTCTGATTTCTTCTAATTAGCAAAGTTTTCAAGGTTCATCCATGTGGCACACGTATATTATTATGTTGTTCTTTCTTTGGCTGAATAATATTCCATCCATCATATGGATCTACCCCATCTCTGTGTTTTAAACAACTTTGGCTGACTGCCAAGGATTCCATCAGGCTCTGAATTAGGTGCCACAGGTTATAGACTTTGCCCTTAATTATCTCACAGTGTACTGGGTAAATTAAACAAGCTTTTAAAAATAATAATTCTATTCTAGTAACAGAATAATCTATGTAAATACTTTTTTGAAAGAACTGGGTGGAAGAAGAAAGCAAGTAGGGAAAGCCTTTTGAAAAAGACAAAATACAATACTGACTGTATTTTTAATTTTGGAAAGAATTTCTCTTAAAATGGCAGCTATCAGGCTAGGGATGTGGCTCAGTAGTAGACTGCTTGCCTACCACATAAGAGGCCAGGGTTGCATCCCCAGTCCTGCCCACCAGCACCCCCCCAAAAAAGAGGCAGTTGTCATTTTAGACACCCCGGTGATGTATTGTTAGCTAATGCCTGTTAAGTCAGTTTTTGGAAACACAGAAGTTTGTAAAAATCAACAACATCTCCTGCAGAAGTATGCAGTGGAGGTGATACGAAGGTGCACTAAGGCTCTTAAGTGTACATTTAGTCACCCTTGAAATATTAAAATTAAAGTTGTCCCTAAGAAAATCGATTTGATATTTATTTTAAATAGATTTTTAGTTGTAGATGGACACAATATGTTTATTTATTTATTTTTATGTGGTGCTGAGGAGCAAACCCAGTGCTTCACAGATACAAAGTGAGCACTCTACCACTGAGCCACAACCCCAGCCCCCATTTGATATTGAAAAAACCCCAAATTGTCCCTAAGGCACAGTCCCCACCATTTTGTGTGGTAACCCTACAGAAAATTTGCATATGTTGCTCAAAAACAAACAAACAAAAACCTTCAAAAATAATTTTTTCCCCCTTTCAGAAATTAAATCATTTTAAAGTTTTGCTGTTTAGGACACTTAAGCACATTGGAAATGATTTCTGTGTGACTTTGGGCAGTCATCAGCCCATTGGGGACAATTTTAAAGAGTTCTTCTAACTCTTCCCTGGTCAGTATGTCTCTGGTAGTCACTAGTCTCTCATCTGAGAATGTGGTTTACTTCTCTGTTGGTGGAGGAACTTCCAATGTCATTCAAATATATTTCCCAGGGACTATGCCGTCTCATGGGACTATTTGGCATTTGCATCCATCTCAGCTTGTAACAATTCTGTCTTTCCATAATACCTCATATCTCACACAATTCATTGTTGCCCCCACATCCACGTCTTTCCCACAGTCCTCTGCCCTGTCCCACAATTCCTTGCTTCTCCACAATCCCGTTATCTCCCACAATTCTTAGTTTCTTCCATAATTCTGTTATACCCAAAGTGCCCATCTTTCCCACAATCCTTTGTTCTGTTCCACAATTCTTTGCTTCTGTCACAATCCTCTGATCTCTCCTAATTTCTCCCACAGTCTCTGCTCTAGTCCACAATCATCTGTTGTTTCTTTTCTCCAAGAATCTGCTTCCTCTGTGTGAGAAAGAAATTGAGCAATCATTTGCCCTGGACCACAGTACCTTCTCCCAGAATCCTGTGTGTCCTCGTTATCCCATGACCCCTCCCTTGTTTCTCCTGGAATTCTTTGTTCCCTTGATCTCCCACAATCCCTTGCTTCTCCCACTATTGTGTTCACGTCTTTGTCCCAGAATCCTCTGCTCTGGCCGGCAAGTTCTCCTCTTTCCCAGAATTATCTGTTCTCTTATTTCTCCCACAATGCCCTCACAATCCTGTTCTCACCTTCCTCTCAGAATCCTCTGCCCTGACCCACCAGTCCTCCTTTCTCCCAGAATTATCTGTTCTCTTATTTCTCCAAGAATCCTCTGTTCTCTTGACTCTCCCACAATTCCTTGCTTCTCCCACAAATCTGTTGTCACCTTCCTCCTAGAATCC